CTTCCTGCCTCAGAGTTGAGCTGTTGCTTAATGTAGTAGAGAAGATGCTATTTGGCAGAGCATGTGAAATAAAGAGAAGCATATTAAAACTAAACCTCGTCTCTTTCACCAAGTAGTAATTAGAATTATAGTCCTACAAACGTGCAATTCTTCTGTCTTCACGGGAACTTTTATTTCAAAACCATTCACGACCTATAACATGGCAAACCATTAATATTTTCCATCCAACATAGAACCGGTGGGCTGATCAATACCTTTACACTGTTAGTTGTAGTTTTTACAGATACAGTTTATTGCATGTGGTATCCTTATAGTGGAAATTAAAAATAAATCATAAAGATTGATGTCTACCCCTCATGTTTTGGCCAATATCTCAGAAAACTTCATTTTAAAAGCATGAGTAATTTACTTCCTTGATTATTGGAACCATTTACAAAATTCAACCATTAGTGCTGCAGTGAAAACAAGCTAGGGAAGTAATTATAAAATATTGTTGTCAAGATTGACTATTATAATACAGCACAATAACTGGGCAATACGCATTCAGTGGGGGTGAGCTTTAGACCTTTAATACTTTGTTTTACAAAATAAAAATATGATACTAACAACTACTACAAATGAAAACCATACATGTTTGCCAATTCCATTAACATGTCTATCAATAAATTACAATGACAACTGGCTTTTTCAGTCATGGCCTATATAATCTTTGTACCACCACTTTCTCAAAATAAACAAAAAAATTCCCCTTGAAATTATTTTTTTAAACTAATAGTTTTAACAGTATATGATATGCTACATAAATTAATTTCTATCTTATGATATTTACAAAGTATTTGTAGTTTATGAAATTTATGGACTCCAGTTTCCTATGGAAGAAGCAGAGACAGAGGATGATGATTAGTCAGGAATTTAGTTTAGGTGAAATGATAAAGAATCCAGCCTAACACTTAGACTCTACTTTGTTTTGTGCCATAGACTTTGCCTTCTACACTGGTGCCATCTTCTTATTGTGTGCAAGTCAAAAATAACAGTTGTCTCATGTCTTGACATGACCACAGAAAACACATTACCAGAGGATGTATATAAAGTGTATTTTCAGTAATACAGGGAATTGATTTTCTGTGGCCAATCTCTCTTGAATTTCATCATGGATGTGCATTGTCAGTGAGACTGGCTAAACACTAAGTGTGAGGAGAAACCAGTGTTCTCATGTGTACATGTTCTACAACTTCATTTGAAAGATTTTGTTTGTCTGTGGAATGACTACAAATCCATGCCTTCTTACTCAAGAATGTGAACCTTGTATCATTTCTATAATTATTGCTAGAGAAGAAGGATTACATAGTTTAACAGCTTTTGGGCAAGTATCTTAAGAGGTCAGGCACATTTTTGAGACATATATAAGCTCTGGAAGCAGTTTAGAGGTCATACAAAAAAGAAGGGCTTTTTTATGCTTCACTGTTAGAAAACTAAAATCTGTAGGTGTTGTGATTTGTTCAAAGGCAATAAAAATACAGAAATTATTTCCTCTAGATCCAGGCCACAGATCCATGAATATTCCCCTGGCTCCATTCCATCTCTCAGCTGGATGTGGTGGAACTGAGGAATAGCACATGGCCTCATAATAATTAAGGCTTTCTACCTTGAAGTGCTTTCCCTTATTTTTCGCATGTTCTTTTTTCTACACTGGCCACCAACTATTTCGCAGAAAGTCTCTTTGTAGTCAAATTCATTTGATTCGCTGATTGATATAAATTTTATCACTCTTAAACTGACATCCAGTTCTTTGTTTATTGCCCCAAACAATATACTAAAATTTTAGAAGATATTTTTCAATCTTACTATTTCCTCATTCTGTAACCATGATTTTAGTATGGGGATCTTTATCCCTTCAGAGGATCTTATAGTGCCAGGTTGATGACTTCTGTCACCACTACTTAAGTAATTGACATTAGGCCTGTATTCTTTCATGGGAACTTCACAAAGCTTCCATTCTCAAAGAAATTTGAGAATCGATCATTTTTGCATTAAAATGTCTTATTCATCTCATTTTTCCCTATAAACTTATGTAAGCAATTATTTAAATTATTTGAAATTTAGATAAATAAGGAAAATGTTAAAATTACTAAATAACATGAAAACCACCTTTAACTTGTCATTTTTAGATACATTTCCCAATGTTACAATACT